ATATATATATATATCTTATTCTTCAACGAAAAGTCCCACACACTTAAATTATGGCCTTTCCTTGTCTTAAAGACTCAGGGTATGTCTACACTTGACCCCTAGTTCAAACTAGGGAGGCAAATGAAGCATAGCGAAGTTGCTAATGAAGCGTGGAATTTAAATATCCCACGCTTGATTAGCATATTCGCGGCCGGTCGCCATTTTAAAAAGCCGGTAGCCCGAATTAACTTGCCCCGTGTAGACGTGGTAGTCCGATCCAAAACCCTTCCCTCGAATTAACCGTTACTCCTCATTGCACAAGGAGTAACAGTTAATTCAAGGGAAGGGTTTTGGATCGGACTACCACGTCTACACGCGGCGAGTTAATTCGGGCTACCGGCTTTTTAAAATGGCGACCGGACGCGAATATGCTAATCAAGTGTGGGATATTTAAATCCCATGCTTCATTAGCAACTTTGGTATGCTTCATTTGCCTCCCTAGTTCGAACTAGGGGGCAAGTGTAGACATACCCTCAGAGACCAAACAGGTTGGTTCTGTTGGAGGCCCAATTTATCCAGGAGAAAAGATCATTTCAGTGCAGAAGACCCTTATCCTCCGGCTTTGTGCCAGCAAGCAGCAGATCATGTAAACTTTGCCACCCACTGTATAGAGCTGGTCCAAAAATACTGAACATTTTTCAAAGATTTTCCATTGAAATTTAAAAAAAAAGTTACCATCTCTCCCCCATTGCCTATATTCACTGAAAGCTCTGTAAGGCCGTGTCCACACTCAGGGGTTCTTTCGAAAAAAGTACCCTTTTTTCGAAAGAACTTCCCCTGCATCCAGACTCAAGCCGCGTTCTTTCGAAATTATTTCGAAAGAACGCGGCTTTTCTTTCGATGGCGGTAAACCTCGTTTCACGAGGAAGAACGCCTTCCTTCGAAAGTTCCTCTTTCGAAGGAAGGCGTTCTTCAATGTAAAGAGGTCATCTTCGAAAGAGAGCATCCAGACTCGCTGGGTGCTCTCTTTCGAAAAAGCGGATTTCCTCTATCGAAAGATCCGCCTGCTGTCTAGACGCGATCTTTTGAAAGAGGCTCTTTCGAAAGAAGCCTGCAGTCTAGACACAGCCTAAGTGTGCTGTCAGGAAATACTGCCATCTGTAGCTTATAACTCCAAAATGACAATGTTTTAAACCTGGGAAGTTCTCATTTAAAAAGTCTCCTTTCCTATCCCTGTAAAGAACTGTTCACACACAACTAGGA